CATGGAAAAAGGCTGCAATCTTTAGGATGACACAAGTGAAATGGTGCAGGAGGTTATGTGGGTATTAATGGGGACTATCATTCTGAAAACAGCCAAAATTGACCTGAAGTCATTTACAGGCCCAGTACAACAGGAGGAAAATGCCAGTGATGGACAAGCAAACCCAGCAAAGTGACCTGTAAAGCAACACCAGGGGTCTGTTTTGGCTTTCCCCAGAGAGCTGATGACAAACACTTCATCAGGTGTTATAACCTTTGCCAAGGTTACCTTCAGAAAAGTGTCCCTTCAGTCTCTCCCTTTGACCTGCCACATTGCTAACATCTGGACAATATACACATATTTCCAAAACAAAGGCAGGTTCAGAATGCTGCAAACTCAGATTTATTTGGAAAAAAAGTTATGCCCAAGTGCTTCAGCATTTTAAATTGCAGTTCTCAAAAATGCAAACAACCTAGTATTTTTCTCCTCTATATGGTCATTCAGGCTTTTTACCAAATAAACAACAAATATATAAATATCTGTAGTGAGCACAGGAATGATTTTGTGCAAGACACTTTTCCTAGATAATAATTTTTTCTCTTACACTGTCAACAGAAAAACATGGGGTGCTCCGATGAGAAGGCTCCCTCATGGCACCCCTCCAACAAAAACATCAGAGCCTCAGCTCCTCTCCATGCCCTGTTAAAGGCTTGGGTGAAGAACAGGGGAAGAGCCTGGGTCTCCACACTGACCTGAGGCTGTTTCAGACTGGAATCTGGGAGAAGGATCACAAACAGCCCTGGGCCTGAAAAAGTCTCAGAAGGGCTGGGAAAATAGCAGAGAAAAGCAGAGAAAAATAGCTTACACTGGAGAAGTGTGGAGGAAACTTTGCAAATGAGCAGTCATGGTGATGAGAAACAGGAATTAATTTGGGAGAGTTCTGTCATGGTTGTAACAGAGATCCAAGTGCCACTCCTCTAACGAGCTTCTGCCAGGAGATGCTTTCTGTCTCCTGAGGAAGGGGTGAGGATCCTGCCACTAACACACCCAGACTGCCCAAACCTCATTCCCATATTCCCTTTTGAGCCGGTGCCATGGCCAGAGGGCAGTGCACAAACAGCCCAGCCCTCAGTGCCACCATTTCCATTACACTCATTGTGTCTCCTGAAACTGAGACCTCTCACTGTCCCTCTTTCAAACCAGTCCAAGTCCCCACTCCTATCACAAAAATCTTATCAGACTCCATTCTTTCCCCACCCATCTACCAGTAATTTCAAAGACACCTTTTTGGTCTTCTTTCTGCCCAAAGTGATCAAAATCCACCTGAAGCCCTGCAGATCCCCTGCCCTTCCCTAATACCAATCTCCAACATTTGAAAGATGGAGTTTGGACCAGAGCAGAACTCAGAAGATTCATCTGCTCTCCAGCTGGACTTGGGTCAAAGCTTTTAAGCACAAAGTCACAAAATTCCTTTCCTGACACACTACAGCCTGCTCATGTCACACATTCCATTTTAGGGCCCCAGGGATGCATAGATCTTGCTCCCAGATTCAGTTTAGGTAACAACATCTGCCACAATAATATTTTCATTCATGGTTTCAACTTCCTCTTCCTCAGGCTTTATTCATACTAAGTCAAAAAGGAGGCATTTGGTATTAACTTGACAAACTCATTTGTTTAAAGCCTGGATTTAATTTTTTGGGAGCTTCCCCTTTTTAACTTAGGTCAAGGCCTTTGCTATGACAGCATTGGATCACCAAGTTATTTAGTGTGGAAAAGACCTTGTAGGTCATCAAGGCCAACAATTAACACTGCCAAATTGAGATTTTCCTTTCTTTAAGGAAACATCCACTCTTAGCCAGTTTCCCAGGGATACTCCTCTTTATTCCTTTTTAATTCATATTTTCTTTAAAGATCATTGGCAATAAATGACCAAAAATGCTATGCAAGGATTACTAATGCGGGTAAAGAATGAGGCTGGGGAGAAATAATGCTCAGTCTTTAGCTGTTTTACATTGAAGAGCTGCAGTTAGAATTGGTCCATCAAAAATGGATGGTGTTGTGCCTGTGGGCTGCAATTCTCAGCTAATCTGAGTAAAAAAAGTGATTTTACTTTTGAGTCAAGATTTTCATGCATTAATTTTCCCTTCTTTAGCAAGAAGGAGCAGCCTTGTGAAGCAGTACATCTTTTATAATTTCTTTTGTTCAAAAGAGACGAGAAAGATTAGAAAGCCCCCCAGACTTCAGTCTACATTTCCACAGCTGTTGGCAAGTTGTGATCCTGATGACATAAAAAAAAAAAAGTAAAAAAAAATTCCTCACAGCAACTTTCTCAGTAACAACCAACAACACCAAAGCATTCTTTTCACCATACTCATCAATTTTCTGGTTCTTCACTTGTGCACTGTGAAAAGAACCTCCAAACACTTAAGAAAAGGAAGTAGTAGGAAAAGATTTGACAGTGAAAGAGATTTCAGCATTGCTGGGACAGTGTAAAAAGTAAATGGCTTAGACTGCAGATGACATCTCTGGGTTTGAATAATTCATTCTCTTGCCATATGCTCTTTTAAGTTGATGTCAGACTCACGAAAACCTGAACAAACTGGAGTAGCAGCTCACTGTGCTGCTCAAGCACTAGAGCCACTGCAACACAGACCTGGTGTTATTGGCTTGACTATTAAGGTTAGAGGCTACACCTCTGTAAAACCAAAAATTTACATCTAGATAATATCTAAAATTAAACCTAAGAATGCTGAAGCCCTCCTTCTACCAATAGCACAAGCTGTTGCCCCAAGTTCAATTTCTCAACTTGCCAACAGCTTTTCTACAGTTTTTCTCAGTGTTGGTAAAGGGCTGCAGATATCTAATTATTATACCCACATTCCTAAATTTTGACACCTTCAAAATACACAATGCTTGGAGTAATTCTTAATTTAAAATTCAAAATGTTTCAAAAGAGTTATAACCCTTAAAATTATCAGTCAAATATCACTGGAAAGATCCATTATATTATTCTTATCTTACTTACAATCTTAAATGCCTTGGATAGCTTTCCCCCAAAAAATAGGAAAACTGGTGTGGGGTTTGAAAAGGCTTCCAATAGCACAGAATAAAAGGTGGGAACAAATGGCCCAGGAAGCATCTGAGGATGTGTGTTCAGATTTGTGTCATACAACCCATTCCCAAGATAACCCAGAAAGGAGATGTGATGGCAAGATGGCAAATTTTGCATCAAAACATCATTTGAGTTTACACACGCTTGGAGCTGAACCACACAAAATCCTTCTAAGTTTCTACTCAAGATCTCAAGGATGTCAGAAATGGTGACAATTATTGGATAGCTGTGACAGGCTGCCAGTGACATTGGTACGATGGAAGGGGAAGGGAGCACCATTGGGTGGAAGAAGATTAACCCATTTTTCGTCAGAAAATCTTTCAGCATTCCCCCCGACAGACTTTCCTGAAGCCCTAAAATCCATCCCTAACCAGCTACAGGAACACTTAGCTGGATGACTTGAACAAGTAAGATCACCAAAAACCAGTTTGCATTTTCTAAGGGAGAACAGCATTAATGACCCCCAGCCCAGTGAGACTGAAAAAATTACTTCTTTTCAAATCAAACGACAGGACCCACTTCCAAATAGATGCTCTTTTTTGGCTTTAATAATCTATTGAAAGAAAAACCTCAAAAAGCACTTTCATTGAATGCATCTCTCAACAGGGAGAAAGATTCACTTCATAACATGATAGGGAAAAAACCCCATGAAGTTAAAAAAAAAATTCCTGGGTGCTCTGCCATTGCTCAGGTGCAAGATGCTGTCCTTGTTATTAAGTTGCAATGGGGTTGATTTGCCACTGTGAAAGCTGGCCCAAGAAACGGGCCTCTGAGATCCAGCAGCGTTTGTCGTGCAGCTTTCAGATTTAGGTTATAAGCTAACACTGAATTGATAAGGCTCAAAATATCTTTTAAAGACTGAAAGAAAGTATTCCTTTTTTATTCATAGAATCATGGACCAGCTTGGGCTGGAAAGGACCTTAAAGTCCATCTCATTCAACCCCTTCCCAAGAGCAGGGACACATTCCACTATTCCAGGCTGCTCCAAGCCCCATCCAACCTGGCCTTGAACACTTCCAGGGATCCATGAGCAGCTACAATTTTTCTTACTCTACTCTTACAATGAATTCAAAGCTAAATTTTCCCCTCAAGCTAAGGCTTCCCACTGCATCTCTGGGACACAGAATGTTTGCTGTCAGAATCCAGAATAAAACGCATGTATACTCCTGGCTTTATCTTGCATTTTTGCATTCCACAGCCTTTATTAAAATAACGACAATCCTAAAAGGAAAGAATATTTGCTAGCAGGCCACACTGAGGTTTGTCCCTTCAAGGAACAGATGTGTAGAAAGTAGGAACATTCCTGATCTGCATCCATGGATGTTGCACTGTGGTCTTCAGCACAAACACGTCTACTATAACATATATATAATGCAATATATGTGTATAATCCTTGGGATTAGCCAGCAGCTTTCACAGAATCACATCAAGGAGAGTGACTGGGAGAGACCTTCAAGGGGATCAAGTCCAACCATCATCACCCCTAAACCATGTCCTCAAGTACCTCATCCAGATACCACTTCTTGAACACTTCCAGAGATAATGACTCCACCACTGAATGGCAAAACTCCTTCCAATGCCTGACTTGTCTTTCAGGGAATTTTTTTTCCCTAGTATCCAATCTTGGCAGCCTCCACATCATCCTTTCTTCAGAAAGGAAGAAGGATTTCATACATCCAAAGCAAGCTAAGCTCTGTGATCTACTCCCCCTGAAGACATCCCTTCTTCCTGCCCTTTTCCCTGGAGACTCTGATTTATGAGAAAACAAACCAAGTATTTCTCACATTCCAGGAAAAGCACTCCTCCAGCTTGAAATCATGGCATTACATTAGCATATATATATATTGTAGATAAAAAAATCTATTTTTTTTTTTTTTTTTTTAGATTTTAACCATGCCATGCTCACAGCCAGTTCTGTAAAAAACCTGCTGCAGTCTATATCCTCATGCCCAAACTTCCTAATGCCAAACTCTTCCAGGCTAAAAGGCAATAGGAAATAAATCACTCTTCAATGCTGATCACAGTATAGGATGCTATAGTTATTCAGATTTATATCAGCATATTTAAAAAATATATAAATACTAATAAAATAAAAAGGTGACTCTTACTTGTACATTTACCAAATGCCTAAACTCTGTCAATATTTATAGAACATGATCTTTTTTTTTTCATTTATACTAAACTAACACAAAGATAACATAGGAGTAATACCCCAACTTGTATAAAAATAAATAATGCAAATCCCAGTATTAACCCTGTTAGATCCTACTTTAAGCAGGGAAGTTTAACACTGGACACCTGCAGTAAGAAACACGTTAAAGAGTACAAGAAACACAGTTCAACCCAAATCTCAAAATTCGATGCCCCAACACAATACTTGGTTACAAGGCAAGACTATTTAATGTCTGAAATGTTTCACTGAGAAAGAAGGAGGAGAAGGATAAAGCCACACACTTGTAAATCTGGGAAACACTGGATAATGGCATTTTCATGTAAGCCTTTCCCTCAGACAGGTCTTTACATAAACGGTCTGCAGTTCATCTGAGTCTTTCCAATTCAGAGGCATAATTTGGCCATTTGGAAGCAAACCCAAATAATCAGCAGACCAAGAAAATCTTATGATATAAACATACATGCACACGTAGCAGGGAAATAGCATCCTCTTTCCCCAGAGGGTGCTGGGCACTGTCCAGGCTCTCCAAGGAATGGGCTTGACCCCAAGGCTGCCAGAGCTCCAGAAGCTTTTGGACACTGCTTCCAGGGAGGCACAGGGTGGGATTGCTGGTGTGTCTGTGCAGGGCCAGGGGCTGGACTGGACAATCCTGGTCGGTTCCTCCCAGCTCAGGATATTCAGGGGTTCCATGATTCTAGAAATTATGTTGGTGCTGGTTTGGGTCATGTCTGCCCTCAGCCCCTCATGCTTATGTTAAAATATAAATCAGTGCCTTCTCTTGAAGTAGGGACTTCATAAAGTAGTCAAGCTTCCTAATAAATCAATACCTCATTGCACATACTGAAATTTACTGCTCCTACTTTCTAGACTGGGCTGATTGAGGAAAATAAAGATTTCTCTGCAGCTGAAACATGTTCCAGTACAAATGAAATTAAGAGCTACAGTTTAAGTTCATTATACAGCATTTCATTTGCAAAACCCCCTGCCCATTCTTCAATTAATTCTGGATTACATGCTAATCAGAAGTGTTAACACCCTTTTGTTCGGAAAACCAGGAGGTACTGAAAGAACATTCCAACGGATTTCATTCCTTCTTCAGCAATTATCATGTAATAATTAACTTCAAGAAGCAGTTATGTGTCTCATTACAAATCATTCAGACACCAGATTGCCACGCTCCTACTTCTATGCATCTCTTTCCCTTTCTTCTTTGCAATTTTGCCACATCATCTATCCGCCAAGAAATTTATTATGACATTTTTCTTTACTTCTGTATAAAGATGCATAACAGTAGTCTGACTTTTTTTTTTTTTTTACTTCTTAGGATCCTCTACCTTCAGAGAAAGGCTTTTTCATTCACTACTAGGCTAAGAGAATGGAATCTAAGAATCACCAGAGGTTTGAAAAATACAAACAGAAACAGAATAAAAACAGGAGAACTGCAGGGCTGTAAGGGACCTTCAGGTATTTATTTCTTGCCCGTTAAAAGCAGGATAAGTTATATCCAAAAAAACACCAACCCACAAATATTTGTCCAACAAGCTGTTTGAAAGTGCTAATAGCAGAGGTCCCACAGCCATGATCCTTCATTTCCATGCTTAGCTCTGCCAACACCCAGAACTCTTCTTCTTGAGCCCTTACTCCTCCACCTGCTATTTCTTTCTTTGCCAAAAGAACAGAGCTCTGCTTTCCAGGACAGCTTTACATCTCTAATTTCTCCTCTTTTCCCTCATTAGTAGACACAATTCTTCCAGATTTTCTAGATTTCTCAGCGTCTTGGCTGACATTTGGCTTTGGCAGCTGCTAGAGCATTGACTTGCATGAGTTTTCATTCACTGTCTCCAAAGGTTGTTGTCTCGAACCGAGGCCTGGCAGCCACTCCCAAAACACATTTCTATGGATTGCGTTTGCCAGACTTCAGTACCCTGCCCAGATCCCTCTTTCATTCCAGTCTGTTTATTTCAGGCTACTCTTAACTGGGGATAATCTTCCTGATGTGGAAGCCACATCCTCAAAACACCTCCATCTCTTCCTTCCTCAATGCTTAGTGTTCAAAAAAACGAAATTCCACTAGGAATGGCAGTAATTAAAAAGCTGAATAGGACTGGATCAGAAAAAGACCACCTTCCCTCCAACTGGGAAGTGCATCAGCTGTGAACTTGTGGGAACTGCTCTGAACACCTTGCAAAAGCTGCAGATTTGAAGGAGAGCCGAGAGCAGTTTCCATGCTCCAGTGGTTTTCCACTCCATGCTTCCTTGCCACCAGTCAAGATCTACTCTGTCCTCTCCATTCTCTTAATACATTATAAAAGTATGGGAGGAGAAAAAAACTTTTCTATCAATTATAAAGCTTCAGTGGTTGAAAAGTCCTGAATTTATGAACATTAGAAAATTATGTGGATACTGGAAACAAGCCAAAGAATAAAATAAGCAATGCTTAGTAGGGAAGACAAATAATCCCATCTGCCAGTCTGAAATGATCACACCTTTTTAATGTCATTCATCACAAATATTAGACATGACAATGTATTGAGGCCAGCTTTAGAAGCTCAAAACCCAAAAATGGATGAGGAGAGGGAAAACCCCAGCTACAGAATATTAGGCTTAAGAATTATTCAGAGCAGCAGGGTTGGGTCAAAGTTATTTTTCTTACCTTAGGAACTACCAGAAGCAAATCCCCAAACTGAGAGAGGACTCAAGATGTCCCTAAGGGCTACAGAAGGATAACCTAAAAATCAGAGGAAGAAGGATTCAAGGAATTAGAGATCAGTAAGCTTAACTTTGCTCCCCAGAAAGACATCAGGACACATTATTAACCAATTTAGAGGTACTTAGGGGATAATAAACGGGCAGCAAACAGCCAGCATGAATCTGTCAAGTGCAAATCATGTCAAACCAACTTCATTTCTATCTCTGAAAGAGTAACTAGGGCATTAATATGAAAGGACTTTTCTAAGGCCTCTACTAGCTTTCTTTAGGAAATGTGAGCTAAGTTCTTCAATTAGGTAAAAAAGCACAAGAGTAGTTTTTAAGATGTTCTCTTTCAACCTGAAGGATGTTTCGAGTACAGTTCTGAAGAGATACGTCCTGTGTTCTCTAATATCTTCACTAATGATTTAGAGAATGAGTTCTAAAGGAGATTTACAAAAATATGCAGAAGATGATGATGAAAAGGGTAAAAATAGCTCTGAAAAACAAGATCAAAATTTGAAGCTATCTTGGGAAACTGGAAGAGAAATTCAAAACTCTGATCAAACAAGCCAGGAGAGGTTATTGAGGGTGGAGTTTAGGCAAAACTTTCAGTGCTCAGGGGCCAGCACAGCCCCAGCACAAGGCACCTGGGGAGTTCACAAATCTCTTCCATTAGAGCAAATTTAGGCAAACATCTGTCAGTGTCTGTGTTCCTGCCTCAGGACAGGGAGGCCAACCATGCTGAACTCCCCAAGAGCCTTCCAGCCCTAACCCAGGTAACTCCCTGTGGTACAGGAGGATGTGGTTCCAAGAAAGAGAACATACCAAGGGAATATCTTCAGGGACTTACTTGCTTTTACAGGAGAAGCCAGCTAAATCCCAGCTTGCCAAGCACAGTGACTCCTGAACTGATACCCAAAGGAAAAACACAGGGAAAAGGGATCAGCAGCATCACTGGAAATGCCTGTTTTGATTAAAGCTTTTACTTTGTAAATTCTGATAACAGCGATGTTGTAATATATATTATATAGGGCAATATAAATGTATTGAACACATTGTAGAAGTAGCTAGAAGCTTTTTTTCTGTTTTTATTCTGTAACTGTGCTAGAAACACAAGTTCTAGAGAGGAGATTAAGTTCCTGTTATCAGCTAGAATATGTTCAAGGTTTCAGGTCATTTTAACCAGCTGCAAGAACTCACTTGCCTTGCTGCTGTTCCAACAGAGCATTTCTTTCCTCCCTTTTTCTCAGAAAAAGATGGAAGACAACAATCAATGATATTCTCACAGTGCACTGGGTGGTTTTTAATAATAATAATAATAATTTCTCAAAATAAAGATGGAAAACACTGCATTTTGATAGTTCACAACACTGGGAGTTCATCTATCAAAAAAACCCAAACTAACAAACAAAATCACAATACTTTATTAATCAGCTCTTTCCTCAGCCTCAACAAGTTTGGGTTGATTTCTAAGCCCTTATTAGCACCCACATGCAGTCTGGCTGAGTGCTATTCTTATCTTCAGATGCGAACACACATCTCGTGCAATTTGATTTGGACCAGAACAGGAGCTTTAAATGCCATACTTTTTACTCATGGATGTTTACAGGGAACTCCTTTCCTCTCCCATTGCAGGACATAGTATCAATTGGGTTACATGCAAATGTAGTCTGAAAGAGTCTCTCTTTCTGAGGGCTACTTTCATAGTTTCCACATTAATCTTTGCACCTTTTAATGCTGAAGGATTGTAGCTGCAGCATGAATTCGTTTTAGAGCCATCTAATATATCAGAGTAAATATTAAATACAAAGTAAAAGTAGAAAAATCAAGGGTCTAGAGGTTTGAGTTATTTTTGTCTCTGACCTCTTTCAGCTTAATGCCATTGCTCCTTGTCCTGTCACTCTAGGACTTTGTCCCAGATCCCTCTCCCTTGGAGCCCCTTTAGACACTGCAAGGCACTTGAGGGTCTCCCTGGAGACTTTCCTTATCCAGGCTGGGCAACCCCAATTAAGGGAAGTTTCCATTTTATTCTCATCCCTAATTCAACCCAGCAATGTTTAAACAGACAGACTT